CTTCACAGCTTAGATGGAATGAGGAAGGTGTTGGTTCCTCTAACTTCACTCAGTGCGTGCCGCAATTAAATTTAACGTCATGAGCCATGGTAAAGAGAGGTGTGGGCGGAGTCCTACGTGACGAAGAGGCCTGTGTGGTGTAACCAGGCTACAGCATGGACGTGACCAAGTGCAATGCAGACATGCGCAGTCTGCATAGCGAAAGGAGTTGCAGCCATCTAAAGTCAGCCATGTGCAAGGCCTCCATTAGAGACAGCAATGCTACGAGGAGCCACACGACCCACTTGCATGGAAGGCGATTAGGCACCACCTCGCACCTGTAATTATCACCACCTTAATTGCTTGTATACTTTGCATTTGGCGGGAGATAAGTCTGCGGCTGCGGCTCCGAACCACTTGATTTGCCCCTTTTTAAGGGGAGAAGCATAACGTCCCCAATCAGCACTAAAGGAGAGGGCTTATTTCCTACATGTCAACGTGTCTGTGCACAACTTCACGCGCAAAATCCACTGCCTTTGCGAAGACTGAGGAGGCGTCTCTATCACACCGTTGACATGCCGTATCACTTATAACCACCACCAGCTCACCTGACTTACCTCATGACTAACCCACGAGTCTACCAGTCAGCGAGCTAACGCGCACTCCTCCAACTCAATTTTACGACAGAATTAAATAGGGCTGATCATCGTGCTCCATCAGCGGGATGGAATAGGAGACCGGAGCGCTCTAAACCCACACCACACGTCGCATCAACACCACACTTCATGAAGGATCTGCCAGTTCCTCCAACCCTTACTGCCTTTAGCCAATTGATTGCCTTCTTCTCTTGCCACGCCACGAGTGAAATGCTCGGCAGAACAGGGCTGGCATGCACTGACTACACCTCCACATCGCACGTACGACCTCTCTCGCTGCAGCACTATTTTCACCAACCCGACTACCCCCCCGCCATTCAACCATTTCCTCCACATCCCAATCGTGGCGCTCTCTAACTGCAGTGGTTGCGGGCAAAGACTCACGAATCCTCAGTCAGATCTCGCTTCTGCTAAAACATTGTGTTTACTTCCATTTCGACCAGTGACCAGCAACGACAGCTACCAAGTGGCATGTCGATGTCGAGAGTGCATAGGTCTCCACCGTATTGTAGGGCCAGGTTGATGTAGAAGGGGAAGCACAGACACGTTCTTGTATGAGGGGCAAATTGCTCACAAGAACGGAGTCGACTACGAGGGTGTATTTGTGCCACTCAGCTGTACAAGGCGTCACAGATGTGTTGAAATAGGGGGCCTTGCAGCATGTACGGCGTCGCCGGCATTGCAGTAGTGCGTGGTGAGGAAGGAAGGCAAGCGTTGCAATGCCCATCCAGCATGCTGCAACCACTTCCGCAAACGCCCACCAATGAGGCGTTTGAGCATTTCTGTTTCAATCGACACGTCGACTGACCAAACAAACGAATTCGCAATTCTTCCGTTGAGTTGCAAAAGCCAGTTGGATAGAAGTCAACTGCATGCCTTGATAAAACTGGGGGGTGCGTGGACAGACGATTTTGCTGCTGTACAGAAGACCGAGATGAGGTGGACAATATCGGAATGCAGGTGGAGGAGGTGAGTGCCACCGTGCAAGTCTTCTTGCGACTTGCAGTGTTTGTTAGCCTACGTGTTGGCCTGCCCAGAACGTGGAGTCATTGTTTGGAAGGTGTGAGAGACTTGTGGTTTGTGGAGAAGAGCAGCTTGGGAAAGGGAGTAAGAGACGAAGAAAGTGAGTAGAGATGGTGAAAGGAGTCTTGGAAAGCAGCGCTTTCTTCATTGTGTCAACTCGGTAGCGCTATTCTCCACCTGGTGGCAAACATGGCAGTGAGCTTGAACCGTAAGCGATGTTGCAGACAGCCGTACTGTGAACCCAGCTTTACGATAACGGTGCCGTTGATGTAGTGTGATCTCCTCACAATACACGTAATGCAGCCCATCTCTGTAGCTGCAAATCGGGAGGCTGAAGGAAGCACCTCGTAGCTGCGGTGATGCGAGTGGAAAAAGGAGTGAGCCAAGGTCGGAAGTCCTGCATGAAGTAGGACCCCAAAGGTTGTCTGCGTTGCACTGCCTACTCCTTCCCCACTGTCTACTTGAAGATGAGTTGCTGCAGGCATGTCGCCCACTTTGATTCTCCACTTTGCATTAAGCAGATGCATTTGAGTGTACGCTGTGATTTACTGCGTGATGGGTGTGAAGTGAAGGATCGTAATTTGGGTCCAATTAAACTGACTTCATATGAATGCCCCTTCTTATGCAAGAACGGAAGACTGATATTTGAATTTTCTTGTCTATGGCATTTGCTGCCAGGTGGTACGTCCCTTAGTCCTTCTACCCATTCTCTCCATTCCTCTGCACACAACCATCGACGAACCGAACCGTCTTGCTACAGACATCTGTCGCATTGGGAGGGTTTCATGGTGCTAGGTAGTGAATCCACCGCACTAGTGGGATAAAGCATAACATCTGTGGTGATGAAGTGGTTGATGGGATGCAAAATGGCGAATGGGTGTGATGATGACCATCGTCTGTTGTAGTGACCACACCAGAGGGGTGGCGGGTTTACGTTAGAAGCGGCACCATGCGAGTGGTGGAAGCGGCGGATGCATAGATAGTGCCAACAGTGAAGTTGCTAGGCCGTGCAATGTGTGTTGTGGAGGTCGTAAGAGAAGCGGGGGTAAAAGTGGTGGCCGATTAATTAACCATCTTGCCAAAATTCCTGGACTGCCTCGCCTCTTACTTCGTTATCGGCCTCTGCCTGCCTTAACTCCGCTTTGGCCTTGGAAGGGCACCAGCCATGTCAACCCACGCACTATGTTGTGGTATGAGGCGAAGTTGCCTTACCAAGTCACCAACGAGCAAACGCCTGTCATCATCGTCGAAATACTGTGCTTTAACAGTCAAAATGGTGAAGAAGTTGTTGGGCGAGGGAAAGGTGGAACGCTTGCCATTGACGTAGATGATTGCCTTTACCGAATACAGTAGACTGTGTCCTCTAAACGCGCGATAGACACGACAGGTGCTTTCCAGTCCAAAAATGTGTACGCAACTGTGTAGTGAGCCCTGCAAGACGCTCAATCAGGCGACCGCTGGCCGCCGTATGCATTTAATCCACGTGATTTCGCATAGGTCATAGTCACATTCAGCGCAATATGATGGGTGGATGTACGTGGAAGAACAGTTGATGCGTGATGAAGCACATCCATGTGGATGATGACGGCAAAGAGAAGGTCAGTTTTGGGCACTGCAATTATTTTTGAAGGCTGACGTTGAATGGCGTCAAAGAGAAAAGCACAAGGGACGTGGAGTGGTGTCATGAGCAGAGAAGTGGTTTCGATCCCGTGACGACAAAATTGGCAGAGGCTCTGTACAAGGTAGGAGCGTCCGTGGATCTTCCCTGCAAAGGCAAGTAACGTGAAATATAGGGTTAGTACTTGCAGAAAAAGCAGATGTGCAACTCCCTCAACTCGGATGCTGGACACCAGTGGTCAGTGGAAAGGGCAAATCATTCTTCATTCAGTGAATTGAGGTGCCAGACATCTTCCCATTGCTCGCGGCGAGGGTCGCCGAGTAGAAGAGGCAAAACAGCTGAGAGAGACGAAGACTACTCCACTACTTACACTTCCCTTTTACCAGACTCTCATTGACTTGCTCGTCTCCTCCCCAAAGCTATCGTCTCAAGTGCAGGAGTTGTGCACAGAGCAAAGCACTGTGAAGCTGACTTGACAACTACACGGCCACCACCTTCCAATGTGGAAACAGCACACTTCGACAAGTGGATGAGTTAAGCAGTCCTGCCAGCTCACCGTAGTAAGTGCGCATGTGAGTTGCATTGCAAAATTGTTGAAGAGCGCCTCAGTTGGTGAGTAGACAGCTGCTTTCCATAAAGTTGTGTGAGTTGTCCCCAATGATAGACCTCTTTTCCTAGACGTCGTCAAGTAACAAACCTCAAAATTCGAAGGATGAGGTTGTAAATTTTGCCCAAGTCGACAAAATAACGATGGCGACAAATCTAGTATAGGAGATGACCTTGTAAAACTTTTCGTCAGAAACTGATGTTATATAACAGTTCTCAGCATCACCATGAAAATGTTTTAAGAAGTGTGCTTAATTACCTTACTCATTTCGCCTACATTTACTCCTCCCATCTTGATCCACTGAAAACTGTTTCAAACTAGCAACATTGAAAATCACTGGCACTTCACCTTCTCAATCATTTCCGTTTACTAGCGGAACCAGGTGGATTGAGGAGAAAGGATGAGCCACCTTTCTTTGCAAATACTCGGGGACCCGCCAGGTGCAGGCAAAAGCACGCGACCAATCAACTCAAAGTGGTGTTACATGCAAGTTGGATTCACATCTGCTCACACTTAGCCAACCTTCTAAACATGGAGATTGAAAAAACACTTGAGAATGCTGACCTTGAAATGCGGCTTCACGACTATTGGCCTCGATATTTCCAGCATTCACACGTACGGCAGCTTTACACGCACCGTCCAGTTCATGAATCCAGAACTTTTCAAACATCTGCTATCAAAGCGGCATGTTCGACAATGATAAGGACTTTATGGCACAACCGCGGAAGTGCTGTCACAGAGAACCAACCAAAATCATTTAATGATACAACATAATTAAAACAAAGCCATTAGAAAAGTATGCAATCAACTCACAATTCCTCAATGATGTGAAGGTGAATCAGGTGCCTTTATTCAATCCAAAAGTGTGCGTATAACTTAAAACAGTGGTGCAAAAGAAATGGCACTCCTAAATACATTTCACCACATACAAAACACAGAGAAAACGGGGTGAGTAAGGTGGACAACAACAACAACAGCCTATGGTGACAGCCACATCGACAACCAACGACAAGAAGTCAGCCATTCAGTAGAGCAGGTAGACGAATTGCGTTGGTGACAGTAAAATAAGAGTAGAGGCGAATCACGAAACACGTCACAATGACTGGAACAGAGACGATCAGGGTGCCTCGATAGCCCTCACTTCCTCTCCATAGGCGATCAGTGGTTCTGCCAACTCACGTGGCACGTGGCCGCGTCGAAGTAGGCCATCAAGGAAGAGGTTCAGTACCGCCAACTGTTCATGTCGGGGGAGTACAAACACCTGCTGCAGCAGACTGCCCGGCGTTAGTGGCCTGTTGCATTGTGACAGAAAAGAAAGAAATCGTTTACTTTGATAACCACGTCTAACAATGTTATGCCAACTCAATAAGGTCAATCACTGCAGCCCAAATGTTGTAGGAGTTGAAGTTCTTCCACCAAAATAGAGTTAGCAATAAAGGCAAAAAGTGGTACAGCAAAACAAGAAAGTGAGGTCTCTTACTTAACGAATGAGTTGTAGTAGAAGAATATAAACCACCCAACGAATATCTGACAATCGAACCGATCGAGTATACCCCCATGGCCGGGGATAACGTCGCCGAAGTCCTTAATTTTGAAGGCTCGCTTAAATCCACTCGCGAAGAAGCCGCCAAACGGTCCAATGATGGAGACAAAGGCGCCAATGAGGATGCAGTGGAAGAAATAGGGGTACCAAGCCACTTGCTTAACTGGCACAAAAAACTACAATGGTGAGAGACAATTACAACGAATTCTTGATTCCGCATAATGCTGTAGGGCAGTAAAAGTGCTCGTCATCTTACTAGCCATCGAGAGACATTGTACATGCGTGGGATGAAGATGGCGTCAGGCACGCAATCCATGGAGAGAGCACCCATGCGATCGTCATATTCGATAGGGCAGATAAAGTGCTTCTTATCAATCATGCTCCAAGCCACAAGTAGGCCAAGAAGAAGGGATGAGATGCCGCCTCCGATGAAGCCCTCCCACGTCTTCTTCGGGGACACTTTGATTAGTGGAGTCTTGCCAAAAAGCATCCCAAAAACGTAGGCGAAAATATCATTGGATATGACCATAGCAACGGGCACTAAAAACCTAATGAAGAGTAGACGGTAAGGGACTTACAAACAACTGGTTCAGTAGTCTAAATTGTATGAATTGCGCCTAAAAATAGGCAGTGCACATGACCGAACAATCCATTCCTCAAATCTGATCATTGAGTTGATCAAGTTAGTAAGTCCTCACTGAGAAATAAGCACAAGAAATGTACTTCCTGTCCAAATCTAGCGGATTGCATACCTTCCCATAAGTTACACTCAGCACAAAAATGCGGGCATACGAAGTTTCAGCGACAGTAAAGATATGATTCGACAAAGTTTTTAGATTAAAATGGGTTGAATGGTACCTTTTTAAAATTAAGCAAAAACTAGTAAGTCCAAATGTGTTGAACCAACGCGTCAATGCTGTTTCCATTTGAGACGTGGTCTGCAGATATTAGGCATGAGGTTGACGTTTTCTAGTAATGGAACTTGCGAAAAAAAATTGATACGCCGGTGGTTGTAAGGCACTTCGGGGCCTACTAATCATGGTCCAATTCCGAGGTACGCAAAGCGCAGCAGAACCGTTTTTAAGAGACATCTTTGCGTGACTACTACCCATTTAGAGTATGAGAAGTAGTGTTGCTGCGAAAAGTGCTTCATGACCGAACCCTCCATTGCGCCTTACTGCAAGCAATGAAAGATCAGACCCACTTGAGATGTGATTGTTCTAGTGAGTCCCTTGCCTTTGCTTTAGGGAACCACTTTCCTTGATAATGCCACGAAGATCAGGTCGAAGGGAATCCTCCAGAAGATGATGATTATATGCCAAGAGTTATATCTGTGCCGATCTTGCTTGTCAATTCATGACATGTTGTTTGTGTGTTCGTGCACCGACTAACGTTCAGCTAATCGACAGCAATGAATCTCGATTCACCGATTCATTTGTTTAATGCTGAAGTTTTAGTTGTAAGATGTGTGCAACACGGCTTCAGTCCAGTTTCCAGCTCGAAATGTCCAAGAGGTGACGCTTTCGCTACGGATAATGGATAGGCTGGTACATATGTATCCGTCGAATGCCAAGTCTATCAGGTGGTTCGGTTCTTGTATGCTTATTTTCATCCATCTACAGTCGTAATACCGGGCAAACATGGGAACTAGGTAAGAAAGTAGGTCTCAAAATGCCTTGAAGCAGTAAAATAGCACCTTGGAAAAAGCTAGATAAGATTTGCTTTGTTCACAGATATCCCCAGCAGTGCCCAATGGTAATAATGGCACACCTTTAAGACACCCATTAAAGTGGGAAAGTGAAGGTGAAATCAACCTTACCATCTAGTATCTTTTAAGTAGGAATCAGGTCTTTTAACTCATTTCACAAGCAACTGGAAACGAGACGCCATCACGGAGAGGGTTTCCTTCACGACGTGCAACTGCTAGTGGATAACTTTGGAAGTCGATTACCTCCTATTCACCACCTTCCCTTCAGAAATGTAAAGCTTCTGAGTGTCTAGGCAGCCTTCATATGGGACCTTTGAAATGAATCCAACCTCCATAACTAGCTAAACCCACTTGCTTCCTACAGACAGTAATGATTGAGGTCTAAGTGGAACATTGGAACCACCACTCTATTCGACAACCTAAGAATAGACGTCTAGTCCCAACAAACATTCAACGAATGAAGCCTCAAAATAGGATCAACGTCAGACCAAGTGTCCACCACTCCCCTTCAAAGCTTCGCCTTTATGTACCAACAACAACTGCCTATCCTACCTAAAATTTCCCCTCTCCTTCTCCTCACAAAAGAAAAACCCCAAGTGTATGCAAGGCTGTAAAAAGCCTCTGGGTGAGTTATTGCCTGTAAATACGCTCGGTAGGTCCGAGTAACTTGTGTGGCTCCCCTATCTCAGTGCGTAAACGTAATACACGCACAAATACCCACCGAGGTGGAACTACGAGAAGGCAATCGTCTGTTAACTAAATTTTTCATCATTTTGTCCAACCATCACAATGTCGTGCCATGCGCCTTTACGCATCATGTTGCCACCCTTGCGTAAATGCCAATGTGCTTTTAAAAAAATGTGATATTTCAAGCACATTCATACACTGATTACATAAATATATGCAAACCTGTAAAATTTGCTAATTTAGTTACTGTTCTTGCCGTAATTAGCGTGTTTTAGTGGGTGGGATGCGTCGAGTTCCAGAAAACGATCCTAGACTGACATTCTAGAGCTTTTACCTTCGTAACTTCTTCAAGACTATTGACAGAACGTCAAGTGCTCGCTCGACTCCCTTAATAGTTAGCCCATCACTTAAGCATATACACTAGGGACGCTGATAATTGTAACCATAAGGGCAAGGTCAGGCAAATGGAGTAAACAAGTTGGACTCCCATGCACAAACAAGCACCAACAGCCTCAATTCCACCTACGGGATTAGAAGTAGGCGACAGGAGAGGAAACAGGGCTTGTGACCTGGAGAGAACTTAGGTTCACCCCCCACACCCACCCCTGTCCCGGAGGGACAGAAGCAAGGTTCGTCTCCTGACGGAATCATTTCGCTCTGAGCATCAGCTATGACAGTATTCAACTGCTAAGTGCATTTTAATCCAAAAAAAAAATAGCTTCAAGGTAATAAGTGGAAGCAGATGTTAAGTATTGCAGCTAATGACAAATTTTCGCAGGATGAGATCAGCGCCGTTTGCGCAGTTGGGAGAGGCATACCAAAAAGCACCCATAAAACCATAGAGTCAAACTAATTAAAGCCCTGATGAGTTATTTCACGACACTCTCCTGATAAATCTCGTAAGAACTGCCAATTAATAGGTGGAGATGAAGTTAAGCTAATAAGATAGGAAAGACATCAGTGGTTGTCACCTTGGAAAATCTTGTTATTCACCCCACAACAGTGTGCACTAATTTTGAAGCATCCACTTGGTGCAACCAGAGTCTCGACACAATTTGAAAGTGGACAAGAAAGACTTAATGAATGGAAGAATTCAAAACAAATGCATCACTGGGTAGGAAGAGCATTCGTAGTAATCAAAAATTTCAGCATTTTCTTGTCTAACGGTCTGCACTTTCATGGTGGAAAGGGATGCGCCCCCTCGACTGTATTCCCTCAAGTATTGATAAACACTTTTCTCCGCTTCTGGGAGTGGTCATAAAGGTAGGAAATGGTTAGCAGATTTTCAATTCCCCAGAGACAACTTTTTATGAAGGTAGAATGCGTATCACGTTTGGAAAGAATAATGTTACCTACACTCTCAGAGTAAGCATTTTGACGGATAAAGCATTATGAGGGACGTTTGCCGGAAAAATCACACGCTAGTCACAGAAAAATTCTAAAGGTGGACCAGAATGAGCACGTCATAACAACAATTAGTAAAATTCTGTCAAAGACAAGAGTGCATAAGGGAGCTGTCTGAGACACCAATGAAGGAGCTTGATGAAATGAATGCAGCGCGGGCAGAAGTAGAGACCTCCCTCCCACCCCCCTCTTCATAGTCCATTAATGAGATAGTGGTAAACCAAGCTCTAATGCCATTTTTCATTATCCAAGCAGAAATCACCATGGTTACTGCATTACCATGTATCCCATACCTCGCTTTCAATTCAACTTATGGTCTAAAAAACGTCCCATTTGCAGTCAAGGCGGTGTTTTTTGTTTAAGATGAGTTGAAGCAGCTCCAAGCAATGAGATCTCACATGGCCTCCTTGATGATCCAGTTAATGTGGAGGAACTACGTCTAAAGATGCTCTTTAACAAAATACAAAAAAAAGGAAAGTCTCATTCCAATGACAAAAAAACCCCCAAGCTACAAATTCACTGATGCCGCCTAGAAGAGGCCGCTGTGACCTTGAAAGGAATGGACAAATCGATGCAAAGGGATTAATTGAAAGAATTCATGGGAACCGAGGAGACAGGAAACTTGAAATGAGTGACTTACCAAATGAGACCGTCGAAAATGCTTTGAATCATGAAGTGAGAAGAGGAGACGATGATGAGAAGGGAGACATGTGTCCATCCAAACTGAAGGCGAAACGAAAAACGAAAGTTACCTCAATGAGACCGTCTTTAGAACACCGACTACAACCAACCTGTCAAATAAGCGTGTAGCAAATAGGAATTAAAGCAGAAATTGAACAGTTAATCCGATTTGTGCTTCGAAAAGATTCTCACGGTTTAAATGTAGAATGCTTTAAGGCTTGTAACCCCTCATATCTCATTTGGTGGTCAAGTGGAAAAAAAGGATGAGAGAGAAACATGCCTAATAAAAGGTCGGTGTGGAAATTGACAAGCTTTACTCGGAACTTGGAGCATCACTGGTTTTAGGAAGCTTTGTCAATGGGAGAACGAGGAAAAAAACGAGAGCTTTTCATGCAATGCTAGACGACAGTTTCTAGAGGTAGCAACCAAGCGTCAGCCGAGGAAATATAGCTGCTTCTGGTAGAGAACATGGACAACTTCCAGTTTGTAAAAGAGAAACGCAAACATGATTTTCAAAAATGAGCGTCCCATCAAATGATGTGTAAAATGCAAATCAGCTAACATTGACGTGGGATGACAGTCATTTGTAAGTCTTGACGACATTCATTGGATGCAGCCATACAGAATCGATGGGAGAATGGAAAACTCACCAATGAAAGATGGAAGAGTTTTTGGAGGTGAAAGAGAAGTTCATACAAAGATCGCAATGAAGAATTAAGAAAAAAAAGTGATACCAACAGAATGCAAAGGATGACGCTGGTTGAGAAACAAAATCCAAGACAGATGGGAGAAAAAGTGGAGTTAACAAGGCGGGGACCTGAGACAGTTGGAACGAAATTTGAACAAAACTGTCAAGCAATAATTTACTTCAGGAGGATAGTAGTAGCTGCCAAAAAAGTTGGCAAGATAATGTCGGTAGAGAAGTCAATGGAGGGGGGAGGGGGGAAATAGAATGTTAAAAGTGTGGCAAAAGGAGAACCTAAAGGGGTCGAGAAAGCCTCAAGATTACGACTGAATAACTAGTCCTTGGGATAGGAAAAGCACCGCCGCTAGAAAAGGCTTTTTGGCAAATAGGGACTTCAACAAAAGACGCCTGTGAGTCGTAAACTCTAATACATTCGAGAGAGATTTAAACGCGCTACTGACGATGTGCCCGCGAAGGCCCAAAAATGCAAGCCAAATTAAGTAGGCAAACGTGAAAATATAACCAGTGAATGAAAATACTCGCAAAATTGGCCAAGTGAGATGTTCAATGCTACTAAGAAGGTGAACAAAGCATGCCGAAGTTGTAAAAACCAATCTGGAGAACGGAAGCAAACCTTATTAGAAGCTCTATCAACACAATACGGAGCACAACAGGACTACTTCCACACCATTCATGCATCCAGTTGAGAATTGGCACAAATGAGTGATGTCTACATACCATGACTATCCGCTACCTGAAAGGAGGTGATGCATTAATTACCCAAAGCCGATTTCAAAAGCCCACTCCCATCATTCCAACATCAACTCGCACGAAACCAATGAAGAAGTCCAGAAGAAGCAACAACTCAGTACATTCGGCGGGTTAAAGCGTCTAGAAGCAATGAAATATGAGGAATGACACGTAACCAGTTTGCAAGAAAGCCACAAAACCCTCACACTACGAAAACACAGTTTGGTTTTGGTCCTGTGGAGGCGATCGAAAATTGCATGCGTTACAGCTTCAATACTGGAATGAGTTTGGAGGATACACACACCAAATGCTAAAGAACATTAGCCAGGAGGTGTTTTGGCGACTTCACTCCATAAGTCTGCCTGAGAAACATGACCAACTGGAATTAACTTGACACCCACTTATTGCGATCCAGATTAGGCGACGCAATCAGAACGTCATGCACGCATCAGTTATTCTGACGCAGATAGACAAATGGTATCACTAGGAGAGCTAAGAATCACTGTTAGAGACCGTCCTGCCGCCTGAAGCGATTGACAATGTTAGTACGGCAGAAAGAATTGTTAGTAGTCTGTTGGAGTATAATGAAAACAAGACAGGAGTCAGTTTAAGAGATTCAAATAATTAAAGCGATTTTGAAATAAACTCAGCTCTACACACAAAAAAAGTTTTACTCTTGAGAAAAGAAGCAAAAAGTCAAATTAGTTATGCTACTTTTCTTGCTGAAAAGAACAAAGTAATCACCTTCATGCATGAAAACAGGCTCGTTATAAGCACGAAGTGAGAAGATAAACTTACCAGAGTGAACTGCTTAAGGTAGTGGCGTCGCACGAGACTTAAAACGAAGGCGACAATGCAACCGCAGTAGAGAGTGAAGGAGATGAAACGATGATGCACCACCAGTGGTGCTAAAAAGTCCTGCAGAACAGGTAAACGAAAGGTTTGTTTGGGTCTCCAACACGAAAGCGGATCACAAATAATGCACACTGACACTAACTGTTTATACGAACAGTAAGGTCCAAAAGCCCGATGCCGCCAGACAGGTGAGGTGAATGGAGTTAAAACTTTTCCTTCTCCACATTTACCGGTCCGTTGTAAGCAATAACGTATGCTATGCCGTGGTTGGTTTAACGAAATAACAGTGGAACTAGTATTGAGACCAAGCTTCCTCATTGGGGCTGCCGACATGAGGGTGTTGTGAGGTTCGTGAATGGTGGTGGACTTCTGTGTTGTTACTTCTGAAAGTCCGTCCTGCGGCCACTGGTGATGAGGCGACAGAGTTCGCGATGACTTATTTAATGTCCATTTTGACATTGAGAGATGAGACTACGGGATTTGGTCTAGCCAAGATTTGACAGCCAGATAGTCGTAATAAGGTAGCCACCTGATCAGCGGATATCAGGCCACATGCAGTCAGTCAAACATGCGAGTGTATCCTTATTCAGTCCAAAAATGTTTACAACCGGCATATAAGCAGAACACAGAACAGTTGTTCCGATTCAAATGTGGCACAAAAGACTTTTTTCCACTCCACGAGATAAGGAATCCTAGGTGCATATTAGGAGCTTTCTGTAGTTCATTCAGTCGCGCCTGGAATACGAAACCTCCAATAACACAGCTGAGCAGAAGCTAGGATATCGCCCAATTTTCTATCGCTTACTGATTCGGCAGAGGTAGAATATGGTAAGTGTCATCAGGAAGGTTCCACTATGGACGCAACAGCGCAACAGTTGTGAGGACAAAGTATGGATATGGCCGTCAGCAGGCACTTATGTGCCAGTCCTGTTAACCCAACTAAAACACTTCTCATTTCGATAGGAAAAAGACAGGCTTGACTGATAGGGGGAACCTATTGTGCTGCATCAGTTTTGATGACCAAGAAATCCAACCACTCCACAGCCTCCCATCCTCAACCGAACCAATAATTAATTGCCTCCGCTGGAGCAATGCTTTGAGACGGTACCTGTGCATCACACAGCTGCACGGCAGTTAGAGCTAACTATGGCTCCGTAATCAGAGCTGCTTGAGAGAAAAATCCACACATGCAATTCGAATGTGCTCACTTACAAAATTTAGGCGATACAAGTGAAGATGAGTGTGTAGCGATTTGCTTAACCGATGGTACCCACGCCCTTTATGCCGCGTTAACACGGATAGAGCAGAATACGCATTAGCAATTCAAATTCGTAGGGGGCACCACAACCCCAAGTAATAGAAGTCTACTTGAAGGTCACTCAAGACCATCAAAAAAGTAAATGTCATAGGTAACTTGGCACGATCCTGATCTCAGCAGTAGTCCGCACTTCTCATCATCGTACCACGACCCCCACGCTTTAAATAGAATTTTGATAGAACTGAAAGATAGAGATTGGTTGAGTGAAAATTTGTGGCTCCACCCTCTGACGTGCCATTAGTGGTGGTGTTAACGCAAATATTAACAATTATGGTGGTTCCAGTCCTCCACATTACAACACATATTACAACTATCTCAAGTGCCTCACTTTTAGTACTCCACTAAAAGATGTGCAAGGACGACAGATATTCTCCAACTTTCTCATGAAAAAAAAAGAGATACGTTGAAACACAGCCAAAATTGGTTCTAATTATCGCCCAACTGATATACTCTGTGTGAATTACCTGAGCCCATCCGACCGCATAGCCACTTCTTATTAAATGTGGAATTAACGAATCACAGGATAGGGGAGGAAAGAGATGTGCTTAATCGAACCTGCCAACAAATTTCGTTGCCTTGGTAGGCATGCATAAATACGGAGGTTATAATTAAAGGAACGCCCATTTGTAAGTGCAGTCATCAGCCACCAAGCGATCAGCACTGAAAGCACAAAAGGAAAGCCAATGCCGCCGACAGGGAAATAGGGCTTTAGGGTAAAAAAAGGAGAGAGATAGGCATAAATATTATAGATGCGTGATATTCTAAACTACATATAGAAGACCTCAAGATTCTTGGTTCAAGTTACAGTTGGTGGCAACGACTGTCATAAGGCATCCATAAAATGACCAAACAAGTCAACTGTTGTTTGTCGTCGGGGTAAATGACGCGGAGAATAGGCTTACGAAGGAACAAAGTTCACAAAAATGCCATGCGTCCAGTCTTACAGACACCTTGCAGTCTTCCACGTCTTGGCCACTATAGACGCGGCCGTTCTGTACCTTTACCCTCACATTCTACTGACGTGCACATACAGTTACTTTGGGAGGAGACCGAATATGAGTGAGAAGCTACTATTTCGACACCGACCCACATCCACCTAGACTAATCGACTTCAAGTCGCCCTGGGCACGGATAATAAGTATAATTCTAGGCGCAGTTACGCTATGCAGACTACTGTAAAGGAAGTTAATATTGAACCTGGGCGTTTACTTTCAAAAGCAAAAAAATGTTGCGGCCTGAATGATAACAAAATCGGTTGTCGGTAGCATAAATGCTCCATCACCAGCTCTAATGGCGTGCATTTGCCACGAGGGTTTCCTTTATGAGGTGCAAAACTCATAAAGGTGCAGATTGTGTTAACGAGTCACTCAGTAGTAGTAATGAGTTAGATGCCATTAATGAACAGTATCTTCTACACCTAACTATTAGCAGCCAGCACTCAAACAACTTGATAAGGCTATAACTTGCTGTGAAGCCGCACAAGAGCCAAATCCTTCTATGGAAGGAATGCCTAGAGCTAAGAAGGGATATTTTTGTATCGTTCAGCCTCTCTAGGTGTGGCTGTGTGTGTAGGGGGCAGTGGAAATAACAATGAGGAAAACAGATTAATGATTTAAGTTTGCACCTTCCCGTCTTGCGCATAGTTGGAAGTCCCAGCTTGGCTTACCTGACCTTTTTAAGTGAGTTGGCCGCACTGACAGATGGTTCCGAGATGGACGTGAGGACTTATGATGAAGTTAGAGCAAGAGATGTGAAGGAGACAAAAGTTGCGTATTGAACTCACTTCTTTGGCCAGGAGGATACGGAAGCGTCCAATAAGACTCTCACCAAAGAAGAAGTAGTTGGAGGTAAAGAGAAACATCCAGGAAAGTGTGCGAAACCACGGCAAATTGTGTGTTCGGTAGACCACATGACCAATGTGAATGAGCTCCTTGAAACACGCCAATTGAAGGCACAGCACCTGAAGAAAGCACACTATTGCCCGTCAACATACAACACCAATACACGGCAGAAGTCCCTGACAGGATTAAATAATCGAGATGAAAAATTTCATATCACTTTCTGCCGGTCTTCGGAACAGATTTTACAATTTCATGACTAGCGTCACGTCCGTAGATCACCCTAGTTTGTCAACCTGACCCCAGCCTCATGACTTACAGCCAGACACATCACAAACAAGGTCGCTGGACTCGAGGAAACAAAATACATGCAGAACAACAATTTAACACAGATGTCATATCAGAAAAAAGAAACTGGAATGAAAGGGCTCCGAAAGCAGCACCTCAATTGGAAAGTATTAGACCAAGGAAAGTAAACTACCTCTACTAAAATCTACTTGAGGCAGCTAAAAGTGAAATTCCCTTCAGGCAAATGCTTAATTTGTGAAATGAATTGTTTTGGTGGTGAGGAGTAGACAAAGAAAGGGCTCTAGAGACGGGAGCAAATATTTTAGAAAACAATTACCACTCGCATTATGTGTTTTAGAGGGATGTCGATCATTCTAATCCGAATGTTCTGCTCGTATAGTGACACTAATTGCCACTGACCTACCGAAATTCCTTCCAACTTAGTGTGTCACTTAAGGGTGAATTATGAGGGCAAGAAGAGTTAAGCGTCAGTGCATGCGCTGAGAACGTCCAACTTACCTCCTCCAGCCCCGACTTTGAACAGCCATTAGAGTTAACTAATGAATCAAAACTAAACGCATCTAAAAAAAATTGGTTAGCTTGACCCTCTGATCCTAACGAGATGTTTACTCTTTATAAGGGGAAAAAAAATGCTACCTTCACCATTGAACCAAGCTCCTTATATCACATCGTGCTTAATTAATTTGGAGAGGAACCTAATGAACTCCCAATCGCCACGCCTTGACGAAGCAAATGAGGGGAGGCTTATGGAAATGGACTTAATGGTCACTAAAAGAGATGAACCATTTCATAATCCCCTGAAAGAAGATGGAATCAGATTTGGTTGAGGAACAGTGGGCGTAAGCAGAAGTCCTTTGAGGAAGCTACAGGCTTTTCAAGTGCAAGGATTTGTTTATTATGCTCGTGAAAAAGTAAAGCAAACAAAAAGGCGGAAGGCGCGTGTCTGACAGAGCCTAGGTTACCGGCACCCCTAAGAAAGGACATGGTGATCAAGAGAACACTAAAATTGCAAAGATCTAATGATAGTGTAGAAGTCTGTCTGGGTTACCAGAGGCGTGTGAATTGGGGTCCCACTTCACGTTGAATGCCTTCAAGTTGAGGGGGGCAAGAGTACCACAGAAACAAAAAAAAGGTCGGCTGCAGTTCAAACGACAAAAAGGCAGAAAGCTGCTCAAAAAAGTCGACAGTGTAGCTTTACTTCAATGCATCTTCACGGTATTTGCTGAACAACGTACCAACGAGGTAGAGAAAGTGGCCGACGGGAAAAGAGGCAATTGGATGCGTAAAAGGGAGCCAATTTGAAGGATAAAACATGTACAATGCAAATCAGAACACTTGTCAGACGTCATATAAACGTTTAAACGCACTGTTTCGTAGAGAAAAGCTATTAAATAGCAAGTTATTACAAGGCAACTGCCTCAGCAGCACTGTCAGCTTAGATCGGATGATCGACTCGTTCTCATGTAACATACTCGAGACTTTAAAAAATACTTCGAGTTACCTGGTGGAAGCCGCAGGCATGTCAGCAGCCTTAAAGTGGAGTGTTTGAGCCAGCACTGACTTGTTGTTTTGATCACCTCCCTTTGTGAAATGCGCAATAAGTGCGAGCACTGACATTTGGGTGGAAACAAATTAAAACACGTTACCCAAATAAATAAGCTTGGCTCTCGATAAATAATTTAGGTTAAGTTAGATTACCCCATGGCGAAAAGGACTTCCCCGCAGTCTGCGACTAAAAAAGTTCCAAGTTGACGAAAAAATCAAGAAACAAAGGAATTTTACGACTGCCAAGGAGTGAACCACTCCTTAATGGGAGCAAACGAAGAGCAAAACTCACGTCAAGATCCCACCCAACCCCGTACTGCTTTCCGCGTATGATCATCGTGTCAGTGAACAGTGAACTTAAGTGTAACTGATGACATATGAACGAAGTCAACAATAATTTGTCAACGTGAAGGAAGCCAACCAGTGACTCTCGTTGTAGGGCTTAACACAAAGAAAGGAGTTGAAATCTTTTCCGGTTTAACCGTTTTCGTAATCACAACAGGTGTGAAGTATGCGGGTCTGACCAAGACCACATACCGAATCCGTTGAGCGGTTACAAACTCAGCATAAAGGATGAGCACGATCATCGAGATAGTCACCATCACGTTTAAGTTGGTTCCGAAACACGGTATAATTACGCATGAGAATTGAATTTCTCGATAAACTCAACAGAGCTCATCGAATTTACGCCACCTCTTTGTGCCATAGCTTCCGTAAGTTGCAAAAGGTGGGTAACTCAACAATTAATGGGAGAATGGATTGCCACCTCACTTACCCTTGAAAAATAAAAAATAGGATGCATTATATAATCTGAGAGTCGACGTCCTGGAATCGTATCGTGGAACTGATGATAACACCTCGGGCACCAGATATGCTCAATTTGTAAGTGCCATCCTTGAACTAAGATATCTTCGGCAACTGTATAGTGAAAAATCTAGTGGCAGTTCAGAAGTAACACCGAAGTACATGACTTGGTCAAAACAATGCATGAATTAACAGAACGGTTCGGCATTGCCCCTGGTCCAACACTGCAAGACAATTTGAGCCCAACTGACAAGATCAAAGGATGGAAGGAAAGGGGTGACTGAAAGACATTATGCCCATTAATGTCATTCTTCCAGCCCCCAAAGCTGTGTCCACCAACAAGCAACAGTCAAACAAGTCGTCAATTTCACGCTACGACGACGAGTCCATGAAAATGGTTTGAACCTGGTTTCCCATCCAGACAGTTAATGAAAATATCTCAAATCAAAATGCTGCAACGTATTTGGTTGCAAAAAAAGCTTGGGAAATGCATAAGCGATGTATGAAGAGAAAATGAAGCAAATGTGAACTCACCAACAGCACCAGAGCTAGTGGGCCGAGGTAGATGAGAAAGAGGAAACCACCAATCATCACAATGGACATAAAAAGACGCACAATGCAGTTGGTAAGACGTGGCGAAAGGCCCGCTACGGAAGTCTCGAGGAAGACTGGCACGTGGTCAGAGCCATGGGGCACCTTCTCCGCCGCATCCGGCTCGATGTCAAGATCACTTGCAAGAGGCGTCTCTATGGCTTCGTCGGTGGAAGAGTAATCGCCAGCACGTGGTGCCGCGGAGGCGACAGCGGCAGCGTCGACGGTAGCTACCTCGACGTTTACGTCATCGTGTAACTGGCGCAAAATAAGAGGAAAGCTAGGCAATGAAGCCAATTACTCGGCATGACTACACATGAAGCCCATCCCTGAGGATCGAATACTTGGAGATGGCGGCTGACGGTGTAAGAAACAAGAGCATGATATCGAGAAAATATTGTCAATGAGTTTCGGCTCATTACTTGGATTGCAGGATACAGAGTTGGGATGACCAAAATATACTAATGTTAATGCGTAAAAGTCGACCATTACTTACCTCTTTATGGTACATTTATAAACGGACAATAAACTTAACAAAGATTAAACTTTGTGTTTTTACCCCAAGGCGTCTTGTACCATTTTGATATTAAGGCTTAAGTGCAAAATGGCAGTTTCTCTCCAAACGTGTACAAGGATTTTTGCTTCAAGAGTGAGATTTCGCCTTTAAATCATACACATTTGTATAAAATTTGAAGGAATAAGAGGATACAAGCAAGTAAGAAGTCGAATAAAATGTTAAGATAAGGATCTTCCAGATTTTAACGAAATTATGCAACGTTATTCATGGACTAATATAAAAATAAATGAGACTGACTAAAACTCGAGGAGAATTTGCCAAGTCAATACTGCTGTTTTACAGGGAGAACGAACGGTTTATTCTAAAAATCATATGTAATTTTCAAAATATGGACGAAACGAAATTTATTCTTCTTCTAAACGACTGAAAATGCTTGAAAATGGTTTACTTAAAACTATCGAGCATAAACGAGATTTGGAGCAATGAAGTGAGATTGCTTGGCAATAATGAGTCAATCATGCGTCACTAACGAGAGAAATGAAATTGTACAGATATTGCCAAATGGTGGAATTATACAAGCACAAAGTTACCTCCAAAAGCCATCGATTGGATATGATCAGTAGCTAGGGAGATGAAACGCTCAAACGTGACGGAATACAGATCACATATAGTCAACTTTAAAAAATATAATTTTGAAAAATATAAAAAACCAAGTTCCCTAAGTGCAAACACCATGAAGTTGGCAGTCATTATAAAGCAAAAATATTTGGCAGACAAGTATGCCGTTCAGACTAGGATAGGTGGTAAGAATTTGTGAAATTTTAACAAAGGTTTAGAGGGCCTTTAACGCTTCGCAAGCAGAATAAGTAATCGGAAGCATCTATACATATCGGGCCAAAACCTACAGAAAGTTTGGCGAGATATTCTAACGGCGAGTCGTGCATTAATCAATCACATGAAATGATGAGAAGCAAGCACTTAAGAAGAAAATCTTTACCCCTTCCAATGACTCTCAGTGGGGCATCAGATAAAAGAGGATGGAGCATCCAAGAAAATTAGCTGATTACCGAGTGTCGTCTACGAGTAACCTTGGGGGAACGTTCACCCATCTGGACAGAGTACGCCGAACACGACCAACCGGCAGCCAATCACATTAGTGCCCCACACGACAGTTTAAGCGTTCGGTGAAAAATTAGACCACTTTAACGAAGCAAAAGACTAGTAAAACGTTGTTTAAAGTTTAAAACGAAATTCATAGAATTGTGACTGTTATATTATATAATTAAACGCCTAAGCTTTATATTATGGCTAAAAGTAAAATGTGCAGAATGCCTTGTATAGAGTAATGATGGCGTAGTGCACTTCTGCTTAGCCAAAAAATGCATCTATCGAATCTGATTCGCAAGCTTTATGTGACATCTCGGAACTTTCAACAGGCTGAAAGAAGGCAGCAAGTGAAGCTGGATACATGTATTTCAAAGAGGACAAAGCAACTGGGTCTGCGCATGGCCGGAAGTTCAGCCTGCAAGTACAAGGGCCAGACAATTCCTAAAGTGACCGCCAAACGTCAGGTGGTCATATAAACAAAGAATCATAATTTACGCGAAAGGAAGGAATAACTCTAAAGTAAATGAAACCATTTCTCAAAAAATGTGTCAGCACTATTGGATAACTGTGTACTAACCAGTAATAAACGTCAGAATAAGTTTTAATGCTTTGTTTGGCCGGATATTCATAAAAGTTAGTGTAGCGTCCCGAGACTAAGTGCTAGGTAAAAAAGGATATAAGTACTGGCAAACACATGCACGGGCTTTGGCTTGGCCCGTAGTCCATTACATGCGCACACGAACAAGACGAATATCGAAATTGACCCCTATTCATACAGGCAATCGAAGTAACAAGGTGTTAGATTTCCCCTTCTTCCTTCGAGCGACGTCCTTGGCACACTTCTAAGAGGGATTTCCGCGTCACCCATCGCATATCCAGTGCCACAAATCAAAATCTACAAGTTATCAGCGTTATTCATCAGCCGAAATGAGATTGGTGGACTGGACTTGGCTTAATCAGCACCTTTAAATGAACGTAAAGGTTATGCTAATTCTAAGAGCAGGAATTTTTACTGACCATCGATTGTGCCCAGGCCTAAACGTTGCAACGTTGGTCTCAAACAGAGGCGCATTAAAGAACACAAATTCTAGCATAGTCGTGCATGTATGTGGCAGAAAATTTTTTACTACAAAACTCTTTAAGTGATTAATTCATTGTTGCTTAAATTGGTAGTGGCTTGCCTGTGGGGCACGGGAAGGGATTTAAGCCATATGTGAATGTCATTCTCAACCATTCTGTCGTGAGGAGCTTATAGAATTTCCCATCCAAAGTATTTGTATTTCCTTTAGATCACAGAACTGCCATAAGCAGTGAACGTTAGGATGGAGGCCGTAAGAAAGTCGGAGTTACTTTCTGTTGCCATCAGAGTAGCATCATGAGACTTCTAACTAAGCTGAAGATGGCACGGTATAGGGGTAAAATGCATGCACTTAGATAAATTGGAGGAGAGAGAGGACTATGAATAGGTTCTGAGACCAGCACTGTAATGCTTTGTTTATGTGACCACAAGACGTTTGGCAGTCACTTAAGAATTTGTCTGGCCTTTTTATATGTGGGCTGGTCTTCGAGCCATGCTCAGGCCCATTAGCTCTGTTTTCTTTGAGGCCTTCCTCCACCCTATAGGAAGTCTCGGGACGCTGAAAGCACATGCGGACTAAAGCAAGACAAGTACCAAAGTAACAGCCAGACATAGGAATAGTCACGCAAACAAAGCATTACAATTGTGATCTCTCTTTGGCGGTCACTTTGGTTCTGTCGATTGGGCCGCCCTTGTGACTACGCAATAGCCTCCTTCATTCACTATCCATCAGAATACATGTGGTTTTACTCGAGTATTGTACCTCTCACCACCAAGTATAAGAAGTCTAAACACCACATGCAAAGATCCATAAATATGTGTCAGGGTATATGTCTGATAGAAGCAGATTGATTTGTCAAATGCAGTGAAGTAACAGTCGCTAAAATTCCATCAAATGCAACGTGATCTACATTGGACCTCCCGTACAATCTTGTTTGCAGCCTCCTAAGTCCCTACTGATTTGGCGAAAAGAATGGTACAATAGTTGAGTGCATATGTTCAGTCGAAAGAGTGGAATTGGTACCCTAGATATTCGACCACCTGCGTGACTACATGTTATTTCTGTTTTTATGGTTGTTTTAAAATTGCCCTTAAAATAAGGATTGGGTACTCAATTCGACATTGGTACTTGGGTACAGCGCGGACCATTCACTAGGATCCCAGTAGCCATAACTTTTCACACTCCCATTCAAGAGTGGAAGTCTTTGCATAAGCAAACGCAGATACTTAAAGAAAACCTCTGTAGTGTCCCGAGGCTTCCCATAGGCTTGAAGAAGGCCTAAAGGAACGCTGAATATATATATTACGAAGACGACAGGGCAAATAGGGCCTGAGCGTGGCCTGAAGGCCAGCCCACGTATATAAGATCCAGACAAATTCTAAAGTTACAACCTTATCTTAAATGTATCAATAAGATGGATCCTAAATCAGAGCAGAAAGTATACCCACGTCCCCATATGCCAGGACTGGCCTTAGGGTCAAGCCAAAGATCAATCGCCCACCTCTTTGTGAATACATAAGTCCAGCAATACTTAATTCTCTCTTCTAACAAACAAGGAATTCCAGGAATTTAAAGTTCTGCCATGCCTCACGGTCCAGTCTTCAGGTTGGACCACAGCTTTGTATCTATCTCTTTGGCGTAAATGTGATCATTAAGCCTTAACAAATGCCTTTATTTTATGCTAAGTGTAGTGCTCATAGCTCATTTAAAGAGCAAATACAACCATTTTAATTTATCAACAATACTTTTGTGCTTACAGTAGCAAAAAAATTGCAAGGCTTTGCCTAAGCTCTATAATTCTGAAGAATGTCACTTACATTATTACGCTATATCCGCATTTTTTTATGATACAGCATATTTGTCTATCCGGGGCCCAGTGTAACTGACTCCGTTAATCACACTATTTTATTTATATGTACTTGCTTAAAAGCCTACACAATTTGTAACTGACTAAGACAACCCTCTTAGGTCACCACTGTAATATATACGGATGTATTTAAGTTGCCCTTTCAGGCGATAGGAGGTCGGTCAATTGGAACGCCATGCAAGTGGAGTGCGCAAATTCCGTCGAGAAGTAGCTCTGCATTATGTTGATTGTTCATCGATTCCAAGAGGCCGTACTTGCATGACTAGTGTGGTCTCCCGAGACTTCTCACTGGGCAAAAGGAGAGAAAATGAACCAAGACTGAGCTTGGTCCAAAGGGCAGCACCCGCGTGCAAAGGCCAAACAAATAGCAGCATATACGTAATCTACTTAATAGTCACACAGACAAGTATCTTCTTCCTAAGAAGAAGAGCGAGGAAAAGGGAAGGAAGGAATTATATTAACTTATACATTTATTGCAACCAATACGTTAAATCCTCAATAATTAGTATATAAAAACTAGTTTGTCTTTAGCGTCAAAACTAACAATTAAAATTAAGCTTCGTTTTGTTACAAGTATTTTTGTTTTACTCTATTAGCTTAAATTATATTAACAGTCGCCTTCTCGTACGTGACGGTTACTTTGGCGCGTGCTTCGGTGAGGAGTGGGGTTGTTAGGTTTCCAACGTGGGTTCAGATGCGCCATGGCAGGTAGAATGTCAATGCATGGTGCGCCTCTTCCTAATTTTACTAATTTTTAACCTTCTTAAACCCTCGTGTATCAAATGTTTACTTCCTCAATGTCGCAAAGCCCATACACGTTGGATCAGTCCAACCGATTGTTTGGGCAAATTAAAAATTCCTTGGTTTGGGGTACTTAAGTCTTCAACTTCTTGTTGGCTTTACCTTTATGTGGCCATAGTACGGCAGTACCTACCTTCTTATATGCTACGAGCGCATTTTTGAGCACATTATACGCTTTCTAAGCTACATAACACTCTGGCTTTGTGTCGTTCAAAAATTTCGTATGGGTTTAAAAGTTTTGTTGCCTTTTATTTATCTTTGCAATTGTTTTTAGATTACTTGTCTCACGATGCGGCTTATAAGAGGTACGTATTTTGCTTCGAGGCCTCTCCCCAAGCTTATTTAACGTCTAACCAAAGTTTCAGTTAACTTCTTTTACGCACATTCGCATGCTCTTTCACCTTCACCTTTTTTAGTCAGGATTCAGATGACCAGACACGGCGTTTGTAAGTGTTCATCAATGTCTGTGTGTAGTTTATAACGCTTGTCCTTCCTCGCACTGCGTCCGCCTATCTTTTTTCTGATCGCCGGTGTTCTAAGCACGATCAGATCGCAAAGCATTGATTGAGCTGAATCACTTCTTCATGTGTAAGGACGTGAAGTATCTGGTTCTTCCTTTTCACATAGGTTTGATCGCCGATCCACGGTGGCTTACCCAGGTATGGAGGGTAAGTACGTAGCTAAGGGCCAATTCTCGGGCAAGTCGATCGCCGTGCTGAGCAGCGGTGGAGATGCTCAAGGGATGAACTCAGCTATTCGTGCTGTCGTAAGAATGGGCCTTTACTGCGGCTGTCGCGTCTTCTTTGTCAAGGAGGGTTACCAAGGCCTTGTGGATGGGGGCAAAAATCTCAAAGAGGCCACATGGGCTGATGTCTCTGGCATTATGCAACTGGTAGGGCCTTTAGATAATGCGTTTATCTTTGTACGTAATGTGATTTGCTCCGTAATGCAAACTTTGAGGATTATAAAACTTTTCTCCATTCCTTATAATTTGACATGCAACTAGTTCATTTAAATACCTATTTACATTTTTTTGTGATTGGGTTTCCTGCGTTTTCCAGTGACTTCAGTTTACTATTTCGTATTCTGGCACTTGCTTCGGTCTCCATAAATGTGTGAAGTGCCTTTATTTACAATTTGCGTTTGCGACAAACAAAGGTTTTTGTACTAAACCGTTGCTCAGAGGCCACTTGTTTACGAGGTTCCTTTACTCCCATGCGCAATTGTACATTTTCCTTCAACGTAAAGTTAATTGAATGCTACGCATGAATACTTTAGTTATTTCTGTGGCTTAGAGTTCACTAATCCGAATCCATTTTTAGTCATTGCCTTCAACCCAGCAACCTCGGTCGATAGGCACATTGAGGCGTCGGTAATTTTTAAGCTCTCGAGGACTTGCTTTTTGGCCTCTTCGAGATTGGGCTCTTTAAGGTTAACTTTGTGACCAAATTTGTAGATATGTGAAGTGTCTATGAATTCGTCTTGATTTTCATTCTTAGCTTGAATGTAGTCAAAGTTCTTGATATTTTCGCATCGAGAACTCTGATTCTCTTCTTTACTGTTGTTGGTCCAAACCGCCTCCTCCACTTTGATCGTGACACAAAATTTTACCAACGAACCGTTATTTACTCGTCTGTGAATTAATGAAGTTAGCGATATATTGAAATGGAACTGATTTGTAATATGAGTTATTTATTACATACTAAGCGTAAATAATTTAACAATAGACCAACTGGCCTTGTTCATCTATAGGGAGGCACGGTGATTGGTTCGGCCCGTTGTAAGGACTTTCGGGAGAGGGCAGGCCGTGAGAAGGCAGCGCTCAATATGGTAAAGCATGGGATTCACAACCTCGTTGTCATCGGTGGAGATGGTTCACTCACTGGAGCCAACGAATTTCGTGTTGAATGGGCCTCTCTTCTAGCCTCACTTTACGAGAATGGTAAGCCATCATCCCCAGACTAAGGGGATAAGCTTTTTATTGGTTCGCTTTCGTTCCTAACTGCTCCCGTGTTTGAAAACAGCCAAAATCACCGAGGAGGAGAGGTCAAATCATGAACATCTCAACATAATTGGCATTGTGGGCAGTATTGACAATGACTTCTGCGGTACTGATATGACCATTGGCGCGGATTCAGCACTACACCGTGTAATTGAGGCTGCAGATGCCATTGTAACTACAGCACAGTCTCACCAACGCTGCTTTATTCTGGAAGTTATGGGACGCAATTGTGGCTATCTTGCTCTCCTCTCAGCTCTTGCCTCTGAAGCTGATTGGGTCTTCATTCCTGAGGTGCCACCAGTGGACAATTGGCCCGAATTGCTCTGTTCGAAGGTTCGAAGGGTAGGTAAAGTGGTCACATTTCCCCCTTTTGTTTTATTTTTTCCCCTTTTTTTTCACTTACATTTTGGGTAATTCTGTGGCGGAGCTCTGGCCAGTACAATTTAAGCCATAACTTGTCAATGTAATTAATCCTACCAAAGTTACCATACTATTGTCACCAATATTTTGGCTGAGGTTTTCAGTTGGGCACTGGGGGTTGAGAACTCCTCATGCCGGTGGGTTAATTTGGAATCTTTGTGATGCCAAGTCTTCATTTGTCTATTCATTGCCTAGATCAGAGGCATGATTTTGTAATTGGGATGGATTGTCTCTTATTCTTCTCTTGAACCTGTCACTTAAAACCATTTCTGGTTATTACCCTTTCTGCATGGCTTTTTGTCTGGTCTATTCTCCTTTTGATGCATCTTTGCCCTTCATCGACAGAATCGCGAGCGAGGTCAACGCGTGAGCATCATCATGGTGGCTGAAGGTGCTGTGGATCGAGAGAATAAACCAATTACCTGTGAGATGGTGAAGAAATTGATGGTGGACGAGTTGAACTTGGACACACGCATCACCGTTCTGGGGCATGTACAGCGTGGTGGTCGTCCCTCGGCCTTTGATCGTGTCCTCGGTATCCGCATGGGTGCTGAGGCTGTGTTGGCTCTCATGGATGCGGACAAGAATCCCGAGCTTCCTGCTTGTGTCATCACTCTTGTAGGCAATCAAGCTGTTCGTTTGCCACTGATGCACTGCGTCGAGAAGGTAGGTAGACTCTCCACAACCGAGCCAATAATCTGCCTGCATGACTTTCTTCCCGACTTCAAAGAGTGTTAGCTTGAGTTGGTACTGATAGATAGTCGCTCTTGTAGACAATAAAATCATCTCTGATTGGATCTTCGTAGTCATTCACTTCATCAGCTACCTGAGTATTACAATCGAGAGGATATCTCGAATGGATCTCTCTGAATTTTCTTGCTTCACTACTCCTTGTCTGAAGTAAAGCGTGGATTTTTTTACAAAATCCCTCCTGAGGGCATCACACTAGGTGTTTATTATTTCCTATCTTCTTCCCTACTAAACAGGTCGTGTTGTTCTCACAATCTCGTGAATAGTGGGCTCGCCTTATGCATTTGTCTGTCACAAATAGTGATCGCTTTTAGCCATTATTTGTCTTTTGGTCTTACTCCTACAACTTCTACGCATCATGGAGGAGGAATTTTTTATCTTTTGTCTCACTACACACTTAGTGTATTCATACTTTTCTTTCATCATCAACTTGGCAGTAATGTCGTCCTTTTGTGTGTCATTGACTGCAGTTTTCATCACCCTTGAGAGGCACTCAACAGAAGGCGCCAGAGTTAATAAATCACTTCAACACTATTTGTTACTCGCTTGACTTTGGGCTGTCACTTATTATTTGGTAGAAAGGAGGCATAGGTCTTAGGTGCTGACATCGCTCTGTTTCATCGTATATCTCTTGTAATGCAAATTGGCTAGAATTGAGCAAGCCCCTCCCACAACACTTGACCGTCATGGGTCACGTTGACTGCGTAATGTTATGATGTAGGAGGAATTTACTTTATAAAGCATGAAGTATTTGACTCGGCAAATAACACATCAAGCCTCTGGAGTTGTACGATCTAACAAATCCACTCGCAAAACCATCCATTAGTTAGAGAATGTGAACGAATTACCAACTTTTTACTTCCTTCTTCATTCCAGACTCGAGGTGTGGCTGCTGCTATCGCCAAACGCGACTTTGAACAGGCAGTGTTCCTCCGTGGACGGTAAGTTGCATGAGAGTGTGTATGGACGTCATTTATCGAGGAGTTTTTGTGAGTCACGTCTTAGTCACTCGCCTTCTGCAATGCGCACAACTGCAGAGATGGCGACTTTGGAGATCGACTTGGAAGGAATTTACATCATCATCTTGTCAGTGTCTTAAGCTGATTTGCTGATGGAAGGGAGAGTGGGGGTTGGGGGGTTAATGTCAGGGGCTGAGATGTAGTCGCTTGCATTTGACACCTCTCATTTTTAATCTTTTTTCGCATAAGTTAAAATGATTGACCAGAATGGAATGCTACATTAGGTAGCATAAATCAAATTCTGTTGGGAATGTTATTTGTTTAATTTCTGTGTTAATCCTGTTTGTGTGATGTCACTCACCTTAGCACTTGTTCAACCACTTTCCTCCTTTGTAGGAGTTTTATGACCAATGTGGACACATACATTACTTTGTCCAAAATCAACCCTCCAACTGTGGAAAATAGGGTAGGTGTATAATTTACCCTTTAGCATGCCTTATGACTGCCTGTTTGTCACCTTTGACGGCTGAGTAATTTGAGTTTATTATTGTCAGTCCTCTTTGGCATGTGTGGCTTACGTGGTCTTGTTACTTATGCACGTCTGTGTCTCGTTCCATCCCCACCTTTTCTACAGCCATCAGTTATCGTAAGTTTGTGTTCTGCTCATCTTTCGCGCATCAGTTGTCCTTCCTAGCCCTATGCTCTTGCTCTTTTGGGCTCTTGCACTTGCTCTGCTCCTCTTTGGTTCACTGTTTCGAGTGCCCCAATTCCTTAAGCCTCCTTCTCATTTGTTTAAATTGGCATTTTATTTGGCGACTTCAAACTCTGACACCTGGCGATGTTGATACCTGCTTTCCCTTGTGCACAGCACACTGGTTGTTGATGTCTGGGCTTCCCTTTCTGTTGTATGGCTATACATTATGCACTCATTCACTTGTTGCCTGTGTGTTCAATGTTCATCAGCTTTTCCCTTAGAAGTAAATTGTAAAAACAGTGACTTTTCTTTGTGTTAAGTTCCCGCATTTGTTGCCAACCTTGGCGTCCAAGTCCTCCTCCCTCCACTTTCTCTAATCGGCCTCTTTGCTTGTACCAGTGGGCCGTTAACCTTGGCTATCTACCTTTCAGGCGAAATTGCGTGTCGGTGTGGTGAATGTGGGCGCCCCAGCAGGTGGAGTGAATGCAGCAATGCGTAGCTTTACGCGTATTGCCATCACTAGGGGCTATCATGTGGTGGGCATCTTTGAGGGCTTCCAGGGCCTTGTCAATGGTGAGGTGCGGGACATCCACTGGGACGATGTCAGAGGCTGGGTCTCCCAAGGTGGTTCCAACCTCGGCACTCGTCGGTGAGCCGTCTCTTTCTCTTTCTCTTTGCATCAAGAAATCATATTTTGCTAAAATCTGCCAAAAAGGTAAATAATAGGGACAATTTCAATGGACAAGCGATTAAAACGCTTGAAAGTGAGGCGGTTAAAGTCAAAAATATCCTAACGACAATGATAGTTTGGTCCTCATGTGTAAAGTTGTTTTAAGCCAATCCTTGTACTCATTTGGTGTCGTTCAGTAGCCAACAAGATCGACGTTGGATGGTTACTGACCCTCGGATTCAGTAGGTATTCACTAGCTGCATGCGAAATCACATTTGACAAGTCGTTACGTTTTGGTTCACTGTTTGCAGGTCGTGCAGGAGTGCCGATATCGCAGAACTAATAAGCGAAAAGTTCGCTTAGTTAAGCACCCTATTGAGAGTGTCTTTTGAAGGGTGGATTTAATTCTCCTGCAGTATGCACACAATCTAGCCCTTCCGTCTCTCACTTTAGTTCCACTGAATTACTGAATTACTTAGATTAAGAATAAAACTCCATTTTGGAGGCACTATGAGTAGATGATGAGTTAAAAGTACATGTGATATGACCTCTGGAGAGGTTATCACCTCTGGCTCCCCTACGCGGCTATGTGAGTCCACTGCTCAAAAGTTTGCCTCATCGCGGTCATCTGAGCAAGTGCTGTCTTTTGATTGGTCGATTGAGCCATCTCTGGAGCATGTGAAATTTGTTTTTTTTTTAAGAAAAACTGAGATAAAATTTAATCTTATGATTCGTTTGAAATGAATCACTGTTGAAAGGCATATTACATCTGTTATTTGTCTTGAAATATTTTGTCGGTGTCTGTGTATTCTCTCACACTTGAATAGCTCATCCCATTGATGTGCTGCAGTTTTGTAGACACATCGTAAAATGCGAGTTAGTGTCTCTATTGTCATGGAAAAGGATATGAAAGTGTTTTAGACCAACTACACTTCCTAATTTCGTTTGTGTCGATTGAACTGTACCAAAGCCATTCGTAGTTGGTTGTCTTGTCAATCGATTTAACTCTCTTCCAAAACGGAAATAGTCTCCTGTCAAAGAAGTCATTGAACTGCCGAGGAAATATCCAATGATAAGTTTCTCATAGGTAAAGACATCAAATACAAGAATGAGATGGCGTTATTGTCGCCAGTATCAGTGAGTAGTGACAGCAAAAAAGTCATAGAAGTCAATCACATAGCTCTCACTAATTGACTCTTTTATTTTTCATTTTTCTCTTTAATGAATTTGTTAGACCAAGTAAATTTTGCATTTCCAGTAACCAATCTGCTCAACATCCGACAGTATTTCGTTCACAGAAGGCAAAGATTGTTTTCTTTATGGCCATAATTGTGTGTGTATCGCGGCGTGAATTGTTTGCTGGACGTTGTCTACTCACTGAACACTAAACGGAGACGTGTAGGTGGACTCTTACAAGAAGTTAAGTCATTGTTGCTGGTCAACTGATTGCATTTGGAGTTGGAAATGAACTGGAAACAACTTAACTCTCCTTAGGGAGGACCATTCAGGCCTACCAGATGCGTTGTGCTCTTGTGGTCGGATGTCTGATTCAGCTTCACCTCGCTCTCTGAGTCTGTGTAAAGTGTGCCTCAATTTGCACATTAAATGCTTAAGGACTGGTTCAGCGGATACTTTTTAAAGTCTTTCGTCTGCACAAGTCTCAAATTCGATGCATCCTCTTTTTTTGCCACTTCTGCACAGGCCCACACCGAGGGAGGTTGGCTTGGATGCAGTGGCGTCTCGATTGGCTGAATTTAGGATCAGTGGCCTCTTGGTGATTGGTGGATTTGAGGCGTTCGAATGCATGGTTGACCTAGTGGAGGGTAGAAGTGAACACAAGGAGCTCTGCATCCCCATGATCATGATTCCGGCTACAATCAGCAACAATGTGCCTGGCACTGACTTCTCTCTGGGTGCTGACACTGCTCTCAATGAGATCACCTTGGTGCGTTCATTCTTTTCGCCCAACTTCTTTTGTTTTCTTTTTTTTTTGCTCTAGGTGGCTAAAAGTGAAAGGCTTGTGGGATTTAAACACTCATGATTGTGTCTATTTTTTGTATCCTCTTGTTCCCTTCCCAAGTTGCGATTTGACATCTGCCATGCCACGATTGAAAGTTGATTATCAAACATGAATTCACCACTCATTGTGACTTTTAGCTTAATCGTTTATTGCAACAGACTGAATCTTGGCTCTACCGAATCATAACAGCAATTCAATGTGTCATAAACTGTTGGACGATGTGAATCTCTACCCATTCGACTTGTGTTGGAGTCGAGTGATGGTGACAGTCTCTGTCGCCTGGCGGATCTCGTTATCTGGCGCCGTGGAAGTGACATAAACAAATGTTGCATTTCTCCGCTTTTGTCTCCTGTGTAGTTTTTTTTTTATTTTGTTTTACGAACCTTCAGGTTTTGCGCACACGCATTCAAGCAATGATTATAGCGGCGGAGATGAAAATGGCTCTTAACTTCTACCGAAACTGATTTGCTAATCACATCAAGTCACTCTGATCCGTCCTCGAACCTGTCCATTTGGTGTTGACTGCCAACTTCTCACTCTTGTGGCTCTAAGGTTTCTTCATTTACAATTTTTTTTACAATCTGATGTCCTTTCATGGTTTGTCGTTAGGCTTTCGTCGGCGTCACAATTGCTGAAGCATGCTTACTTCATTGATGGGCATTTTGATCCACTTCATGGAAGGTGGAGCAGGCATCAAGGCATGCCAGTTTGAAAATGGTATTTCTAAATGACCAGGAATTGTGTACCATGCTTGAATACCCTTGGACGTCAATGCACCGATTGGTCCTTCCCCCACCTTAATAACCTTTGATGCCTTGGCTCCAGATCTTGGACTCTCTTCAACGTCAGCGGTGCCGCTAGATGTCGACAAACAACTTAGTCATCGCATAGTGGTTGTTTATATTTACGCAATTCAGTGCGCCTGTTGACATTGGATCAGTCCTGACAGATGACAGAGTTGTGCATTTAAAATGAATGTGTAGAGTGGTGAGTGAACGACAGGTCAAAAAGACTTGTCATTGAATAAGGCACCTGAATGATTGTAACGCAAATGTGAATTGCAAAGCACAATGATTAGGATAGGCAATTCTTTTTGTTTCCATCTTCCAATCCCTACTCCGCTCTACTCTTTTTTTCACTGTACTAACTCAATGGATGAAATTTCACTCACAAACCATTTAACAGAGCTTTAGATGTGGACCTTCACGTCCTTTGCACGCAATGGATGGTTGGTCGCTTTTGGTGCTATGTTGGACTGACTGGTCGCTCGCATCATTGTTTTGCTGCCTCAACTATGGTTGATACAAGACGATTGTGGTGGTGTCTTGGTATTTTAAGTGCGTCTACATTTTCAAAGTGACAATTCTCGAAGTTCATGTCGTTGGCTGTCTCCTTGAAGTGTTGTTGATTTGTCATTGTGGAGACACTGACGTGAATGTTGAAATACTGTAGAAATGTGCTTCACACCTCTGTGGCTCTCGAGTCATTCCTCTACATCTCATGTGTTATTTAGGTGGTCTTTTGGCACTAACAATGATAATAAAGTGTCCAAACAGGCCTAACTTATTTTGCTTGGCCTATCAAACGTTTCTTTGCCATTACTAAACTTCTGTTTAGCCTCGGTTGCCATTCGATGCGTTGCTGAGATTCGTACCTGTCTGTACTGTTACTCCATCTCCACGATAACATCCACAAATGAAAGCATTCACGGATTGGCATTGCTAGGTGTATAGACAAAGACGAACCTAAAATTGTTTGGTAATGGGTGGCTATGGCAACAAAGTACTACCCAATGCTTTGTGTAGGGGCGAGCTCATCAGATTTGATACTGCTAGTCGAGGAAGTCAAGCACTTGACGCATAGCAATCTGTACCTACATTTGACGTCTTCGTATCCACATTTCTATGCTGACTTTCAAGAATTGTGTCCCGTTTGCAATCGGTGAAAAATCCGGACAGGAAAGCGCTTTAAGCCTATAAGTCATTGAAAGATTCGAGGAAATGTGTGAATGTCAGCAACTTCTAGTTCTATAAAGCCGAGTAAACAAGTGCCTCCATTCTTCCTCCCTCTCCCCGCGTCTCTCCATCTGCGGGTGTTGGGGGTTGGCATTTTAGACGCAAATGCTCGACTCATTGCTGGATGAATGGAAGAAAGAAGAATGGTAGCAGATGCAGCGATGCATCTTCCAAATCGGCGGCCTCCTATTAAATTATTGCTCATCGGCCAATGCTGTCATCTTCGATGAGGAGAGCAAAAGATTTACATGAATTGTTGGCTCTTAGTACCTTCAATTTCATATCTTTTTTATCTGCCTTTGAAAACCCTCCTTTCCGTGGACAAGAAGCAAATGCTTATAGCATAGGCGAAGGTCGATAGCTTGAATTTTCCTTCGTCAGGCTTAGGAGTTTGGAAGTAGTTCGATAGGATTATAGGAGGTGGAATGAAGAGATCTTCCTAAATCTCTCTGAAATGCTTAATCACCACCATCCGAAAGGAAAGAATGAAAGCAATTAGAAAGTCAACTAAGCATAAGTCAACTACCTCATCCTATTTGTGCACTAATGCATCTGAATGTCACCCACCTTTCTGTATCAGTTCATCGCTTCACTCTTGTGTATGTGGCTTTCAGGCAATTGACAAGATCAAACAAAGTGCTACAGGTACGAAACGTCGCGTCTTTGTGGTTGAGACGATGGGCGGCTTCTGTGGTTATCTGGCAACAATGGGTGCTGTGGCAGGAGGTGCCGATGCGGCGTACATCCATGAGGAGGCCTTTGGCATCGATGATTTGCGTGAGGATGTCACTCACCTGCGTGCCAAGATGGCTTCCAATGTGCAGCGTGGTCTGGTGCTGCGTGCTGAATTGGCCAATAAGAATTACTCGACGGACTTCATCCACAAACTCTACACGGAGGAAGGTCAGGGCATCTTCGACTGCAGGTGCGTCATTCTGGTATCACGATTTTTCACTCCACTGTCAGCTGGAAATGCGGTTCATTAATTTGAGTAAGTATCAAGGCTTTTGTTCCAAGCAGAATTGCATCAGACCTTCATTTTGAGGTTGACTTCCTTTTGTATGACCAGTGAGTTGTTGAAAATATGTCCAAGCATCAAAGAACGAGGTATTTGAGACGAGTAGATGTAACTGACTAGGCCATAAATCAGCCTCTCACGCCTCTCCTCACAGAATGACGGTGTTGGGCCACATTCAGCAGGGTGGTGAGCCTTCGCCTTTTGATCGCATTCTGGGAACCAAATTGGGCGTTCTTGCTATCGACTGGTTGGACAATCAGATGAGCACCTTCCTAACCGAAAATGGTGAGTCAACTTCTCCAAACTTCACTTTACACTTCGTTCAGACTCTTTATGGTGCCACTTCCTCTGCATTAAACAAAATTTTACTTTTACCGCATTAGAGGATCAAGAAAATTAGGAGACCATGGTATTGTGTGGAAATGACTTCAGGGCATCATTTCCTGCAGTCTGTGAAGATAATTTATGTTCTTGGAATGCTCATGACCGTTCTTTCATTTCTAGTCGTCAAAGTCAATCCTTGTACAGTGAAGTCATTATTGCTTGCCTTTAAAAATTCTTTGACGTCATTCTCAAGCATTAAGTCATTGTTGTTGTTGTTGTTCAATCACCACGCCGACTGCAGGCGTTGGTCCTCCTCCCCCCCCCCCTCTTGTTTCACTTGGCACGCCATTGTGGCCTTGTCTAAGGAGGTCACTCTTTCTAGGCAGCACCACAGTGTTGTTTAAGTGTACCAAAATGGTGATTTGTCTTGAAACAAACTAACTTGTAGGGTTGACAGCTCACCTTTAGGCTATTGCGATAGCAGCTGAATTGTAGAAGACAAAAAAGGCGTGTGGTATTGAAATACGAAGCCTCCGTCATTCACACATCACGGTGGGCTTTCTTCTTTACTCAGATCCTGACAGTTGATAAGCCTTGGGGTGCAGGAATGTGTGCAATATTACGCTCAAGTGTTTTGTGAATAACACAATGAGTAGGCGAAAGAATTGTTCGGAGTTGTGGAGCTAAAAGTTCGGTCATGTCTCACAGCAAGGACATTGTATGTGCTGATCAAATTTTCAAGGTCCTCTACCTACAATTACTATGAGCAAGGGATTGGTGTGTTGTCTTTAGTTTTTTTCTTTTTTGGCCAAAAATAACGTATAGCCTCTCAATTCAACTTTCGTTGCACCGCTTGCCACCAGGCAAGGCTCAGAATTCGCCTAGTTCCCAAAAGAACGCCGCTTGTGGGTCCAGCTCCCTTTCCGGTAGCATCTATTCATTAATGACTGTAAAGAACGTGCTTTAAGTTGGAACGCGATGTCGAAGCGGTGTTTGATAGCAACCATAGGTGTACGAACGATGGCGTTGTTTCACTCCGGTCTGGTCAGTTCATAAGTCGGTGGACACGAGGCTCCTTTTTTTTCTCTCCATAACAGGCGTGGTGAGCACAAATGGAGACGAGACGAGTGTGCTGCTGGGATTAATCAAGCGCTCCTATGAGTACTCTCGAGTGGTTGAACTGAAACGTGTGACCGACTTTAAGCATCGTGTACCCAGCGACAACTGGTGGCTCAATCTGCGCCCTCTGATGCGTATTATGGCGAAGCACGAAAGTCTCTACGAATCGGAGAGCATAATGCTCGGGGCTGACCGCATCTAAACATCTCTTCCACCGCTGTTGCCTTTCTCATTACCTCCCTCCCTCCCTCCCTCTCCGCCCCTCCCTCTTCCAACTTCACCCATTTCGGCATGACGATGTGAATTATTGGAGTCTCATTACTAGTTGACCTGCATCTGTCTGTAGCAGGAATGCAAAAGGAGAGATGTGGCGGTCAAAACTGCGTTCTTCTTTGCCTCCACTACCCTCGATTACCTTCTATTGCATTGTTCGTTCCTCTCCCTCCGGCCATAATTCCTGCGTCTCCCCTTGCTCTTGCATATTTGGTTATGTAATTAGACCCCTCCATTCAGTGATGTCGTCTTCTTCGTTTGCTTCTTCTCATGACAAAATGCAAGGTAGAAATGCCTCATCGAAATCACGCAATGAACATATGACTTTAATTTCCTTATGGCTTTTTCAATTTGGGCTCGTAGGTTCCAGATGGGAGAGAGGGAAGGAGGGAGATGCCCTGTATGTTGAATCACATTGTGGACAAGATAATTTGCTGCTGACTCCCCCTTCTGCCATGGAGGAAGCATTTAAGGATCCGTATTTTGGCTTTAGCTGGCCAGTTGCAGTATTAACTCCTCCTTGTGGATGGTCCCTCCTGAGTTTATGCCCCGTGCATTCAGGGAGGTTTCGGAAGCCTGCCATGAGATTGCTTCTTCCTGCGCTGTGTGTTTCTTGTTGATCAGGAGCCTGAACTTCTGAATGGAAGGTGTGACCTAAATCCTGCTCCTCCCAACCTCCTTCTATGGTCTTCCGATTATTCTCCTCTCTAGAGGAGGTGGTAACCACCGCGTTCAGTTGGATTTCCAGGCTGCCTCTTGATGCATGCAATCGAAGCGCCCTTCAAACATCAAACTATCACACAAATTTCACTTCATTTGCTTCATAACGGCAAATTTTTACCTAAATTTTAGTTGTTAGACAGTTGCAAAAATCTATTTTGTCGCATGAATAAGAACAAACATTGAAGTGGCGCCTTGCGAACACAAAATGGGTCCACTTTGGTGCCGACAGCAAAAGAGGTTAAATTTCGCACCCCGGGCACTGGAACCACTTTGATCCGCCAAATATCCTTTCCAAAGTCCATCTAAAAGCTGCTCCATTACACTCTCATGGAGACGATGTGGGTTCAACCACTCTAGGTCCTTCCTCGCGTCCACTCGTCAGTCATCTTTCGGGTTACCACAACTAACGACAAGACAGTCATACCACTGCATTTGGGGTTCACACCGCGGGTCAAGTCAAGAGTTGGAATCATCCGAAACAGACCGTGTCAAGGTGCTTGCGGATGGACTCCTTTGAGACTATCAACAACTTGCCCATCAGACCTCAAAAACTCCCTCAACGCGGGAACCCATTTTTTGCTGATTTCCGAATTCACGTCGGGAAGACCGTACCACAATGCGGCAGCAGAGCAGTGTAGTTGGAGAGCACCTCTGCTGAGGTCGGATTGAATTAAAAATGTGCACAATTTTGGCATTTGAGGGCATTTAGGTTTATTTTTTCCAACATCTCGACAAACTCTAACTTCGACTTGATGCTGCTGCTTTAGCCCCGATACAAAGTACAAAAGGGGTTGTAAATTTAAACCCTTTTCAAGCACAATGTGCTGCCACACATTAAATTCCGTCTAATTGTCCTTCCAGGCGCCATAAATTCAGCCTTTTGAGTGAATGTTGCGAGTTCAGAACAGTTTTCCTCTGACGCACTGGCAAATAAAGTAGCGAAGTTGGCAAGTTGTGTTGTCTACTGCGCCACATCACACTCACGGATGGAATAACACGTCCATGCGCGTGGTTCAGCTGTGACCTCGATACTGACTGGCTGACAGACAGACTGGCAAGGCG